CTTCTTCTTCTTCTTCTTCTTCTTCTTCTTCTTCTTCTTCTTCTTCTTCTTCTATGTACTATAACTTTTACTATTACTATTAATGATATTATCATATTTCTTGTGACTATGTTGCAGCCAGGGCGTTAGGCTGCCGGAGCCGTGCTTGTTCGGGGGTTCGAGCCTCAGCTCGGTCGGACGTTGTGTCCTTGACAAAGGCAAAGGCACTTGACTCGAATTCATACATGTATTTGGCTCAGTCTTTTCGGAGATGGACGTTAAACTCGGAGGTGCCTCCTGTCCTTAAATAACCTGTTTGTATTGAAAGGAGAGTTAAGCCTTTGACTTTTTCTTTATTTTTCCCGCAGCCAGAGGACAGACAGGCACCGACCCTTGCGCCCCAGTCCAGTGCCAGAACGGAGGAAGTTGCCAGATTTCCCCTGACAACGTTGCGTTCTGTGCGTGCGCCACGGGATTCACGGGAAGTCTCTGTGAGGTGGCTGTTGTGGACGAGTGCTCACTGCCCAATGGTCATCGGTGCCAGAACAACGCGCGATGCGTTGATGAGTTGTCGGGTTACAAGTGTGTTTGTCTGTCTGGCTGGGAAGGAGATTTTTGTGAGACAGTAAGTTTTTACCCAAGTCTTAATACTGGTTTTTTGTGGATGTTGTAGATAATATAGCTTTTTTGTTCTATAATCTATTTTTCCTATCGGTTATGTTGATAAAGGAGGTCTTTTGCAGTCTATACTTTTCCAGTGTGTTGTTGTTGTTGTCATTGTTGTTGTTGTTGTTGTTGTTGTTGTTGTTGTTGTTGTTGTTGCTGAAGTTGTTGTTGTTGTTGATTTGGCTGTTATTGTTCATATTGATAATCAAGATCTTTTATACTGTCGTGTAGCTTTTATACCTGTTTCTTTCTACTAATGTTTTTCTTTGACTCATTCGCGTACGTCGGTGTCACTGGCAGTAGTTTTGTCACAGCTGTGTTGTTGTAGTTGTTGTTATCTTGGCTATCCCTGTTGTTGTTGTTGTTGTTGTTTGTTATTGTTGCAGATTATTTTGTGACTTTTATAATTCTATGTTTATCTCATTTTCATTTTGTTTTTGAAGTGACAGAGATCCCCCACCTGTCTGTCTGCCTGTCTGTCTGTTTGCCTATCTGTCTGCCCGTTCGTCCGTCCGTTTGTTTGTCTATCCATCCGTCCATCTACCCGGTCGTCTGTCTGTCTGTCTGTCTGTCTGTCTGTCTGTCTGTCTGTCTGTCTGTCTGTCTGTCTGTCTGCCTATGACAAGTAACAATTTTCAATAAATGTTCGTCCTGTCAGGAAAAAGATGAATGTACTTCTGACCCTTGTCGTAATGGCGGAAGCTGCAGGGATATGTTCGACAGCTTCCGGTGTGACTGCGCAGGCGCGTTCACTGGGCCTACATGTGAACAGGATGTGGACGAGTGCGCTTCCGGAACTGATCCTTGTAGGAATGGAGCGACTTGTGAGAATACTGTAGGAGCTTTTCAGTGTAACTGTCTGCCAGGTAAGGACATCTTGAAATGCTTTGGTATTCTGGTCACCACTTGCAGTCTGTCTGGCTGTGTCTGTCTCTGTCTTTGTCTCTGTCTGTCTCTTTGTCTCTGTCTGTCTGTCTGTCTGTCTGTCTGTCTGTCTGTCTGTCTGTCTGTCTGTCT